CCAACACCGACAGGCAGGCCAAGTACCGCAAGGAAACAGACAGCCTCACAGAGCAACATAATAACTGCTCCAGACGGTCAGGGAGCCCAGGACAAGGAGCGACACCCACAGCCGCACCACCGAGGACTACCAAAAGAAAGAGAGGACTTCAAGGCACATGCCGACGATTACATCAAGTAAAACAAGAGAGCCACGCCAATATATAAACAAGAGAGCCACGCCAAGCTATACCTAGAGGCCAATCGAACGGAGGAGACACTGCGAACTGAACTCGCTGAATCCAACAACCGCATGCCCAATACCGAGAAGAAGGGCAAGGATGCCACCGACGAGCTGAAGGATGCCCTGAGACAAAGCGATCGTATGGTGGCACACTACGCCGCCACTGACGAAACCAAGACCCAGACGACCGACGACATTATGAAGAGCCTCAAGCAAGCGCTCGATACATCGGAATGCAGACTCCACAGGGTATGCATGGACTATACCCAGCATCGTGAAACTCAACAGCAGCAATGCCAAGCAGAGCTTCAAGGCCTCAAGGGCGAGATCAGCATCCACAATAAACTACCAACACCGCAGCCAGCAGCGGAGGGACCAGAACGAGACCAGCGCCAGGGACCTCGAGGAGGACCAGCTCAGGCGCCTCAGACCCGAAGACGCGAACATCCAGCTGATCACCAACGAGGCCGGGGCGATGTGCAGCGCAGACAGGGAGGCCAACACACACGAGCACATGGAGATGCAGAAACTCAAGCGCGCATTCGCCGAGGCACGAGGAGATGCACAACAGCTACTCCATGGGCACAGCGCCTATGAGGAGCACAGACACACACACGAGATGACCGCGAAATAGCACAACGACACGATGCGCTTGCGAACACGGGCGGAACACCGAACACACCATGACCAACAAGCACTGGCAGGAACCGAGATGGAGATCAGCCGAGCGAAAGGACACTGGCTGGGGTGGAGAGAGCGGGTCACCATCTACGAGGAAGGGAAACCGAGAGAAACCGAGAGAGCCAGCAGCAACAACGAGTAGGAGGCAATGCAGAGGGAGCATGATCGTAAAGAAGGCGCTGGAAGAAGCAGAGATGCTATACGACAAGTGCGTCGACCTGGAAAAAGACGACCCCACAACACCAGACTACCACGGGCATCGACTTAGACGGTACAACGACACCGATGCCGACGAGGATACAACACGTCCTCATTCTTGGCGATACGCTGGGGCCGTCACACCAGCAAGGCGAAACGTTCCTACCGACGCCGACGCCATGCCCGAGCCATGCCAAGCGACGATCGACCAGCGGATAGAGGGGCCCCAAACCAGTGAAACAGCTAACTCCCAGAGAGATACCGAGATTACCCACGACCATATGGTCACCTGGCGCACCGACGGACCTGGGGAACCTATCACCGAGGTTCGAGAAACCTCACGCGGCATGGTATTTCAAGATTTCAACACCAGAAAGCGGACAAGGCTTAGCACCTTTGCACCTCGCACCGCTTCCTGACCTCAGGAAGCGGTAGACGCGATGGAGGAGCAGGGGGTCCCCGCTCTACGAGAGGCGAGCCGAGGAGGATCTCAGCTCCCCCCCCCGGGGGCTGGGACCCAAGCTCGGGCCCCACCTGCACGCGCGCCGTGCCGCCGCGGACAGCCTCGCCTCCCCTCGCCTCCCCCATCGGTGCATTCCATGTTTTTTCTGCGTCCTCGCCGTGCGGTCGCCCCTGTTCTCCCACCCCCTCTCTTCACCTCTCGACTCTTTGCTACCCCCCCCCAACGGGCGCTCCAGTGGGGGGGGCCCGAGGGCCGCTGCCGCTGTGGATGCAGAGGCCCGCAGGTCGAAGGCTGAAGGGGCCAGGGAGAGGAGGGGCCAGGCCCCCCCGACCCCATAATCGTCCCGCCCCTCCCTTGGTTGGGTGCTCGTTTTGAGTAGGGCAGTGGGGTCGCCAACTCCCTGGTCCTTCTCCTCCTCCCCGCCCCGCGCTGGGGGGGTTGGGGGGGGGGGAGGGGGGGAGGGGGGGAGGGGGGGGAGGGGGGGAGGGCAAGTTAGGTGCGCTCGCGTCAACATCTGACATCCTACCCCTCCCTCCCATCCCTTACCATGGCGCTGATTTTCTCTATCCGCGGACGCGTGTCGTAGCGGACCTGTGGCTCCGCGCGCGTGTGCGTAGTGGGTGGTGGTGCGCGTGCGTGCGTGCGTGTGTGCGTGGTTGTGGTTGTTGTGGTGGTGGTGTGTATGTGTGTGTGTGTGCGTGTGTGCGCGTGTGCTGTGGTGTGACGTGGTGTGGCGTCTTGGTGGTTTGGTGGTGGGCCAGGTGCGTACGTGCGTGATGGCGGTGGTGGTGGTGGCGGTGGTTGTGTGGTGTGTGTGTGTCTGTGTGTGCGTGTGTGTGTGTGTGTGTGTGTGTGTGTGTGTGTGTGTGTGTGTGTGTGCGTGCGTGCGTGCGTGCGTGCGTGCGTGCGTGCGTGCGTGCGTGCGTGCGTGCGTGCGTGCGTGCGTGTGTGTCTGTGTGTGCGCGCGTGTGATGTGGTGTGACGCGGTGTAGCGTGGTGGTGGTGGGTGGGGTAGTGCGGTGGTGGTGGCGGTGCGCGGTGGTGGTGCGCGTGCGTGCGTGCGTGCGTTGGTGGGTGGAAGTGGCGGTGGGTGTGCGTGCGGCGGGGCGGGGCGTGGTGCGGCGCGGTGGTGGCGGGCGGATGGGCGCGCGAGAAAGAGGCCCGCGCTGGGGCGAGAACGCCATCCTGAACGACGGAGGCAAAACACCGATCCGAAAACGAGGCCCACGCTGCAGCGGGAACACGATTCGGAACGATTCGGGAGCAGAAATGAAGCCGGCGCCTCAGCGAGAGCAGCATTTTGAAAAAAAACTCAGGTGAAAACCCAACTCCCGGGAATCCTGTGTAAAAAAACAATACGCGGGGGGGGTCGAATATTCCCAGCACGCCATCAGGGGAAGAGGGAGAGTAGTATTCATATTGAGTAATTGTGGAGGGAGTGGGTCGAGAGGGGGAGAGCCAGGCGCAGGGGGGATAGGGGGGGGGAGGGAGGGCAGGCTTCTTGAAAGGAGGCACCCCGAGGGTTGGGGGGGGAGGGAGAGGCAGGGCCAGGCCCCCGACACCATGTTTTTTTTTTTTTTTTTTTTCTTCTTCTTTTCTTTTCTTTTCTTTCATGTTATTCATAACGGCGACCCCCAGAGGTCGGTCGCGCGCACGGGGGGGTAGGGGGGGAGGGGGGGAAGCTTCTTGGAAGGAGGCTGCTTCTCAGAAAGGCGCAGGCCTTACATCTGTAGGTAGGGCCCGCGCCTTCCAGGAAGCAGGCTCCTTCTAAGAAGCACTCCCCCCTGCACCCTACCCCCCTCCCTCTGCGCCTGGCCCACGAGGTCTCGACCCACTCCCTGGTACCGGTTCTTCATCCTGACTCGCTTTGCTGACCGTCCCGAGGTCCGAAATGAAGGGCTCCCAGAGGCCGAAGGTGACGGAAAGCCTTCCGTCGTCTTGACTTCTTCATGACCCGAGGGGTCTGGGGGGGAGGGACACAGGCTGGCGGGGAGGAGGGCTGGGTGGGGAGCCCAGCTGCTCCGACACGCAACACGCAGCACGAGGAGTGTTGACACGGAACTCAACACGAAGGCTGAACGCGTAGCTCTGACGCGATACGCTTGCCACCAAAAAGGGCCAAGACGCGAAGCCAACACGCGACGTATTGACACAGACCTTTTGAGCACGGTACGTGGTGCCTGTGAAAACGGCCGTATCGAGGCAGCTGAGGTGGGGAGGGAGAGGAGGGGGAGGAGGAGGAGGAGCAAGAGGAGGAGGAGGAGGAGGAGGAGGAGGAGGAGGAGGAGGAGGAGGAGGAGCAGGAGGAGGATGATGAGGAGGAAAAAAGGCCAGGAGCAGGAGCAGCGGGAGCGGGTGCGGACGCCACGAGCGGGAGGGGGAGCACAAGGCGGGGGGACCAAGGGAAGGCCGAGAAGGATAACGCCGGGTAATGGTGGAAACGGCAACGACTGCCAGGAAGCTGGAGACCTAAGACGAAGCCAGGACGAGGATGAATTCGGGTGCGGATGAATCTCTCTAAGATCCGGCGGCTCTGGAGGATATCTCGGGCGCCGCGGCCTTCTCAGAGCGTTCCGAAACGCCCCGCGAGCGTATCAGAGCGCTCTGGAACGGATCAATCATCGTCCTACGTAGACCCGTCCAGAGAAAGCTGGAGGCAGACGCAGCCGGATTTGCGCGCGGAACCTCCTGAGGCCTCGCGCTGGATACACATGCGAAAGCCTGGCTTGCCTGGTCGTGGAAAGGCCAAGCGCTGGGAAGACATCTGGCCTTCCGCGTGTCCGGCTCTCGCCCGGGCCAAGGGCGGCCGCGTCAGGTGTATCCAGCCTCCCCGTGGGAGTCGGGTCCAAAAGTGTGGCCCGCGGGGCGAGGGCACCCTTCTGAACGACGGGGGCAAAGCACCGAACCTGAACGAAAGGTGGCCAACGCTGCTGCAGAAACGCCATGTCTGGATGACCAAGGGCGCTGTTGGGAAGCGCGCGCGCAACACATCAGATGATTCGGCCATCGGTGTGACAGCAATTCGCGGGAAAGGCGGCACCACGGCTGGACATGGTCAAGCGAGAGAGGAGAGCAGTATTCAGTTTGAGTATACACTTGCAAATGAAAGGACCAGGACGAGGATGATATCGCAAAGTGGGAGAAGGAGAAGGATGGGTGGGGGGCGGGATGGAAAGGGGAGCGGAGAGGCGAGATGGGGACGAGAGGGAAGGGGAGGGTAAGGAGGAGGATGTCGCCGATGACTTGCTGTTCATCATCCTCATCCTCATCCTCCCTCCCCCTTCTCCCCCTCCTCCCCTCGACGCACCCCTCCTCCTCCTCCTCCTCCTCCTCCTCCTCCTCCTCTCCCTTCTCCTCCTCTTCCCCCTCTGCCCATCCCGAAGGAAAGACGGTGGATGACGAAAAGGAGTGGTGTATTGGGAACCCTCCGCGGAACGCGCTGTCGAGGAGGTCCAGCGCCCTCCTGGCGGCCGCCAGCTTGGGGGGCATCCTTCCCCCCCCTTTGAGATATCTTCAAGGGCCCACCCCCCCCAAGCCCCCGAGATGCCACCCCTAGATGAGCAAGCAGGAGGAGGCGGCGACGACGGCGGCAACAGCGGCGACGATGGCCGCTGCGGCTGGCGACGACGACGAGGACAACGACCGCGTCGACAACCAACGACGAATACCGACGACGAGGATCGACGACGACGACGGACAGCGACGACAGCCGCTGCGACCGACGACGACCGCGAAGACCGACGAACGACTGCGACGAAAATCGACGACACAGATCGATGACGCGGACGACGACGGCGACGAGGACGACGACGACGACGACCCGCAGCGTCCTCCATTGCCCCTTGGGGCACGCGGCGATGGCTGCGCTCACCGCGTGCTCCGCGCCGGAGAGCACGGCCGCGTCCGAGGGCGCCGCGCCGCGCAGCAGGGACAGGGCGAGGGCCCACTTCCCCTCCGCGGGTCGCCCGCGAGGACCCGGAAGGGGGGGAGGGCGGGGGGGGAGGGAGTGAGGGGCGGAGAAGGGAGGGGTGCGGGAGGGAGGTGGGAGGAGTGCGGAGTAGGGGAGAGGGCGGGGGAGGGCGGTGGGAGGAGATGGGGAATGGGGGTTCCAGGAGGGAGGTGGGAGTTGGGAGGAGGTGGAGGAGGGAAGGAGGCGGAGGAGGCGGAGGCGGAGGCGGCGGCGGAGGAGGGTGTCTCCAGGAAGGAAGTGGGAGGAGGTGGGCCCCCCCCCTCGACTCCCCCCCTCCTCCTCGTCGTCCTAAATCTTCCTCCTCTTTCTCCTCCTCCTTTTCCTCCTCCTCCTCCTCCTCCTCCTCACCCTCCTCCTCCACCTCCCTTCTCCTACCTCCTCCTCCCTCCTCCCTCCTTTCGTCACCTCCCTCCTTTCTTCTCCTCCCTACTTCTCCGTCCTCCTCCCCCTCCTCCTCCTCCTCCTCCTCCTCCTCCTCCAACCCCCTCCCTTCTCCTTCTCCCCCCCCCTTCTCCTCCTCCGCCTCCTGCTCCTCGTCCACCTCCCCGCCCCTCCGTAGTCCCCCCGCTCGACGAGGGCAGAAGGGAAGAGGGAGTAGGAGAGAGGAAGAGGAGATTTTCTCCTCCTCCCCCCTCCTCCTCCTCCTCCTCCTCCTCCTCCTCCTCCTCCTCCTCCTCCTTCCTCCTCCTCCTTCCTCCTCCTCCTCCTCCTCCTCCTGTTCCCCCTGCTCTCTTTCCTGCCGCCCCCCCCCTCACCATGTCTCCTCCTCCGTCCTTCCCTTTCCCGGCTCTACGAGGGCGGGATTGCTCGAGGCGCGGCGAGCGGCATCGCCGAGGAAACGTGGCAAACCGACGGGAGGCGCCCTCCCCCCCTCCTCGCCCCTCTCCCCTCCTCCTTGTCGTCCCCATCGACTACACGCAAAAGCGCTCCTCCTGTGTAAGAGTGACCTTTGGTGCGCGGCTTTTGGGGGACCGCGGGGGACCAAACACGAGCGCGCAAGACGCTACTACCGCATCGCGTTCGGCGATCGGGGGTCCCCATTGGGCCTGCGCCAAAGGTCACTCTGGCGAAAGGTCACTCTTACGTGTAGTCGATCCCCATCCCTCCTCCCTCCTCCTCCTCCTCCTCCTCCTCCTCCTCCTTTTCCTCCTCGTCCTCCTGAATCTCCCCCCTCCTCTTACTCCTCCGCATCCCTTCTCCTCTCCTCTCCCACGAGGCAAACCGACGGGGGGCAGGCCCCGAACAGAGAACAGTCGACGCACGCAGTCGTCGACCCCGCAGTCGACGCCCACAGTAAGTGGCAACATCGCCGCCCGAGGCCCAGAAGCCGCAGGCACACCGGGGCTGAGGACGGGAACGGGAAACAGGATGGGAAGGAGGAGGAGGAGGAGCGAGCGTCCCTGGAAGGAGGAGGAGGAGGAGGAGAGGAGGAGGAGGAGGAGAAGGAGGAGGAGGAGGAGGAGGAGGAGGAGGAGGAGGAGGAACAGCAGTGTAAACCCTAGAGTCACCAACGATGTTGGAATAAACCCTCCCCCAAACTCCTTCTTCCTAGGCCCCTACAACGGTTCGTTTCCACAAAGGGACCTGCCTCGTTGGAAGGCACCCGTTTGAAAACCCTGAAACATACTAAATCCGCCGATCCGGCGTGTGAGTTTCAAAGACCTTCAGAACAGCCTGAGCCTCAATTCCTGAGCTTCGGCTTTACTGGGGGGTGGGTGCCGGGGTGGCTCTGCCGGCGTAGGGGGAGGGGGGGGGGTCGACTTAATTCCCGGGGCGGAATCGGACCTCCCGCTCACTCTGGGACGGCCCCCTCGCCCAGGAGGGCCCCAACATGGGCCAAGAGGGCCCCGAGTCGCCGAACGATCGCTACAAGACGCACAAGATTTCCGCAAAACGGCTCCAGAAACCTCCAAGATGCCCTCAGAAACCCTGAAAGAAAGGCCCCCCAAGGAAGGCCCAAAGAAACAAAACGTGTCCCATTCCTTCAGGAAAACGTGCGAGTTTAGCAGATTCGCCTCTTGGGCCTCCAGAGCGTCGCAAACGCCCCAAGAGAGCCCCAGAACGGCCCAAGAAGCCGCCAAGAGGGCTCCAAAACGGCCCAAAAAGGGCCCAAGATGGCCCAGGAGGGCACCCGGAAAGGCCCAAGAGGGCACCAGGACGGGCCCAAGAAGCGCCTGACACGGCGCCAAGGCGGCGGAAGAGATGCCGAAGACGGTCCACGAAGCCCCCAGCAGGCACCCAGAGGCCTCCAAGAGGCCTGAAGAGGCCCCGAGACGCTTCCAACTGGCCCCGAAAAGGCCCCCATACGCCCCGTAAAGGCCCCCAAGAATTTCAACACATGCATCCAGGACCCCTTCTACAGGCCTCCGCGCTGCCTCCAAGACTCCCCCCGAGAAACCCAGAACCGGCCTCAATGCTTCTCATACGCTTACGTCTGGACACAAGCGCTGCAATCCAACAGGTTCTTCCACGTTTTCACAGATTCTCCCGTCCTCGGTGTCCTTCATGTCCATGATCTCACGAAGGGCCCGCAGAGGACCGCGCGATGGCCCCAGAGACCCCGAAAAACACATGGTTCCCAACAGAGACCGATGATGCACAAGGCCCCACAAAGAACTGTGACGCAGACGCAGACAGCTCTAGCACAAAACTGTTCAGCGAGTGCGCCAGATCGGCGAGGTGTCAATACAAAGAGGGCCAACACCTGGCCCCAAAGAGGTTTCCCAACAACCGCCGCACATCTCCAACAACCGCCGAACATCCCCCCATCCTCGTCATACTCCTCCTTCTCCCCCTCTCCCTCTTCCAGTTCCCGCTCCCTCCTGCTCCTCCTCATCCTCAGCATCCTACTACTCCTGTCCATACCCCCCACCCCCCTCCACCTCATCATGATCCTCTCCCCCCCCTCCCCCTCATCCTACTCCATTGCCTCCATTCCCAATCCTCATCATCATCCTCACTGTTCGCCGTCGTCGCCAGTCATGACAGCCATCGTGCGCTTCCGGCAGCCACGGAAGCGTCCCGGATCGGCGGCACTGGCCGGAGACCACTACAAGATTGTTCTCGGTGTTCCAACACCACGGATAAACTTGACTGCTGCGTCTGGCGATCCTGAGTCGTGCCAGAACGCAATTCCTGGGACTTCAGCACCGCGATTCATCGTAGCTGTTGCGCCCTCAATATCGTGAATCCTTCCGATACACAAGTTCTGGTACGTCGATCATGGGAGTCCGTGAAACTCTAGCAGCTTTTGAAAACGAATATGCGTGGCGCTAAGGCGAGAACCACGTTTTGAGAAAAAAACACCGCCTTCAAATCGTTAAGCTGTTTCAACGTTTGAAAACGACTGTGCGCGGCGCTAAGGCGAGAACCTCATTTTGAAAACGACCCGCTCTGAATCTGGGAAGCTCGTACAACATTTGAAAAAGAATGTGCGCGGCGCTAAAGCGAAAATCACATTTTGAAAACGACCCGCCCTCAATCCGGGAAGCGCTTACAACATTTGAAAAAGAATGTGCGCGGCGCTAAAGCGAGAATCACATTTTGAAAACGACCCGCCCTCCATCTGCGAAGCTGTTGCCAAGTTTTAAACTTCAGGGTCATATATGGTGAAGGAGTCTCATGCGAAACGCCCGCCCCGCCCTAAAAACTGACTTCGGGGTGCGACAGGGAGAAATTATTTATTTGGAGAAGGAATGGAGGAGGAAGAGGAGGGGGAGGGTCCCCCCACCCCTTCCTCCTCCTGTTCCTCCTTCCTCCTTTCTCCCCGATCCCCTCCTGACAGTCCGCCCGCTTCACGGGAACAGGTGGGAGGAGGGAGCGGGAGGAGGAGAGGTGGAGGAGGATGCCTCCCCCTCTCTTTTTTCTCCTCCCTCCTCACTCCCATCATCCCTGCGTGGGTGGCGCGGAGGCCAAATCCCACGCCAAGAAGAGGGGAAGCAAGGCACAGCGAATGCACTGTGCGACAATGAATACGTTTCTTTGGCGCAATTCTGGAAGGGCCCAGGACGGGGAACACGAACCGGCAATTCCGATTCAAGCCTTCCGCCCGCGGAGGCCCCTAGGAGGCCCCAAGAGGCCTCCAAGAAACCCCGACATGCCCCCAAGAGGGCCCCAAGAGGCCCCCAACATGCTTCAAGAGGCCACCAAACGGCCTCCCAAAGGCTTTACAACTGCCCCCAAGAGGCCCCCGAAAGGCCTCCACCGATGTCCAAACGAACATCCAAGAGGCCTCTAACCCACAACCCAGGCACGGTGGCGGGATGGGCCGAATACGACCCTCTCTCTCCCTCCTTCTCCTCTATATAAGTTGCGTGTGTGGATGCGGTCCCCGTTCTTGCAGAAGTCTGCCTGGGGCGCCCCCATGGGCGGCCCATGTGGACAAAAAAAACTGGGGGGGCGCTGCAGGGGGTTCACTTGGGGCCCTGGTCAAAACCATGTGAAGGAGGGGACGCCCCTGACCGCCTTTGGGGGCGAGGGGGCCCTCTGAGCAGGGAGGGGGCTGGGGGCGACGAGCGACGATTCGCTCGGAGGTGGGTAAAGTGGGGGGAGGGGGGGGGGGGGCGCTACCCCGAACTGCAAACTCGACGGGCGGCGGCGGCGGCGACGGGGGGACGGCGCGCGCGTCGGCGCTCGCCCTCCCCTCTGCCTCCCCGCCGCTCAACTCCCACCCGGTGCTCACCCCCCCAGGCCACGGGAATAGGGGGGGGGCGCGCAGGCAGACGAGCAACGGGAGGAAACGCGACGGGGGGAGCAAGGAAGAGAAGGGGCGGGCAGGGGGGGGGCCTGCCGCGGGAAGAGGAGGGGGACAGGCAGCAGACAGACAGGACACGACAGGGCGGACGAGCAAGGACAACGCAGGACGCGCAGTGACAAGGCGAGGGAGCAAGGAGCAAGGGGCCTGAAAGGGGCGAAACGATTTTTCCGCCAGGGCCAACTCTCGAGGCACCTGTTACTCCTGTTCTAACCTGACAAGTCAAAGC